CTTCATGACTTTGCTGGGTGAATTCTCTGCTAAAACTGAAACTGAATTTTCTACTAGTTGACCACTCCTGGGACTGCTGGGCAATGCAATGGTTTTTGTTGTTGTTGTTTGTTTGTTTGTTTGTTTTGAGATGGAGTCTCACTCTGTTGCCCAGGCTGGAGTGCAGTAGTGTGATCTTGGCTCACAGCAACCTTCGCCTCCTGAGTTCAAGCGATTCTCCTGTCTCACCCTCCCAAGTAGCTGAAATTACTGGCATGTGCCACCATGCCCGGCTAATTTTTGTAGTTTTAGTAGAGACTGGGTTCACCATGTTGACCAGGCTGGTCTTGAATTCCTGATCTCAACTGATTCACTTGCCTCGGCCTCCCAAAGTGTTAGGATTATAGGCATGAGCCATCATGCCCAGTCTGGAATGGTTATTAACATCTGTGTTCTGCAGCCTTTGTCCCATTGCTTCTGGGAGAACTGAGCCATGAAGGAGCAGGCACTGCAGTTCGGAGGTGGGGTGTGTGGGCACAGTGCTTCCGAGATTCCATGCTATTTTCAAAGTGGGGCAAGTCCCAAGAAGACTAAGCAGAGGACTGAGTAGGAGAGGAATGAGGATAAGGACGAGAACATACCACTGTGAAAGTGAAAAAGCAGAAAAAGAGGGAACAATGCAGAAACGGGGGTGGAATTTGCCAAAGACAAACTACACTCGCAATTCTGCCTCAGTCATATCTGCCCACTAAGCAATACACGGATTAATTGCTCCAAGTTCAACCAGTCAGAACCCTATCAAGGTTGGCCGGGTGCAGTGGCTCATGCCTGTAATCCCAGCACTTTGGGAGGCCGAGGCAGGTGGATCACCTGAGGTCAGGAGTTCAAGACCAGCCTGGTCAACGTGGTAAAATCCTGTTTCTTTTTTCTTTTTTTTTTTTTTTTTGAGATGGAGTTTTGCTCTTGTTACCCAGGCTGAGTGCAATGGCGCAATCTCGGCTCACTGCAACCTCCACCTCCTGGGTTCAGGCAATTCTCCTGCCTCAGCCTCCCAAGTAGCTGGGATTACAGGCACATGCCACCATGCCCAGCTAATTTTTTTATATTTTTAGTAGAGACGGGGTTTCACCATGTTGACCAGGATGGTCTCGATCTCTTGAGCTCATGATCCATCCGCCTCGGCCTCCCAAAGTGCTGGGATTACAGGCTTGAGCCACCGCGCCCAGCTGGTAAAATCCTGTTTCTACTAAAAATACAAAAATTAGCCAGGCATGGTGGCTTATGCCACCTATAATCCCAGCTACGTGGGAGGCTAAGGTGGGAGAATCATTTGAACCTGGGAGGCAGAGATTGCAGTAAGCTGAGATTGTACCACTACACTCCAGTCTGGGCAATGGAGTGAGACTCAGTCTTTTTTTTAAAAAAAGGAACCCTATCAGGGTTGATTCTTTCCATTAGGGGAGGTGAGAGTGGGAGATCTGAGGGACAGAAAGACAAAGACATCTACCACTACCTTATAAGCATCTGTTGAATGCTTTTCCCCTTCAGGTGGTCTGAGACTATCCTTGGGTTTGAAACCAGTGAGAATAAATTGAAAGCTAAAAATAGTCATCTATTTCACAGAGGAACTAGTTAGATTAATTAGGTTCTCCTTGTGTCATTTCTTGTCTAGGTATATTTGATTGCCTTTCTTTTATTTTTTCAAAGTCACACTTTATTGAGTAGGTAGCAGTATGGGACTGAAAAGCCCCCATAAACTCCTTATAGTTTCTCCAGTTTTTTTGCAATGTCCTTCTGCTACAGATTATCACAATTCATGATAACAATGGCAGTCCTGATTTCCTGGAGAGAATACGCTCAAAAACTTCCAAGAAACTAGAAAATGGCTAAGGATTTTAAAATGTTTTTTCTTTCCTCTTGGTGTCCAATCTTGTCCTTAAAGCAAATTCTTATAAACTTGCTTTGGTTTTTATTATTAATTTTACATTTTAATCTTTACAAAACCAGGAACTTTGTATGTTTTGTTCACTTTTTTTTTAGATATGGAGTCTCACTTTGTTGCCCAGGCTGGAGTGCAGTGGTGCCATCTCGGCTCACTGCAACCTCCGCCTCCCGGGATCTAGCAATTCTCCTGCTTCAGCCTCCTGAGTAGCGGGGACTACAGGGGCACACTGCCATGCCAGGCTAATTTTTTGTATTTTAGTAGAGATAGGGTTTCATTGTGTTGTCCAGGCTGGTCTTGAACTCCTGAGCTTGGGCAATCCATCTGCCTCGACCTCCCAAAGTGTTAGGATTATAGGAGTGAGCCACTGCTCCCGGCCTAGTTTAGCTTTTGTTCCAAGACCTAGAGTATAGTAGGCATTCAATAATCATATAATGAATAAATGATGCATAAATTGAATAACTAAATAGCATTTTGATACCAGTATATAAAAAAGGCCAAAGTAAACTTACATTTTGGGGCTAGGATATAGGTTGTGGTGTGAAACCACAACTTTAAGCAGCATGCTAAGGGTACTCTAGAAGATTGTTGTAGGCCAGGCGTAGTGGCTCCTGGCACTTTGAGAGGCCCCACGGTGGGTGGATCACTTGAAGTCAGGAGTTCAAGACCAGCCTGGCCAACATGGTGAAACCCCATCTCTACTAAAAATACAAATAATTAGCTGGGTGTGATGACTCGCACCTGTAGTCCCAGCTACGAAGGAGGCTAAGGTGGAAGAATCACTTGAACCTGGGAGGTGGAGGTTGCAGTGAACTGAGATTGTGCCATTGTACTCCCGTCTGGGTGACAGAGGAGACTTTGTCTCAAAACAAAAGATTGTTGTAAGGGGAAAGGTGTGATATCTTTCCTTGCTATAAGAGTCACAGCCAGCACGTCTATAACAAAAGACAAGTTAACAAGAGAAAAGCATAACACATTTGTTTAATCAAAGTTTTAGGTGACATGGGAACCTTCATAAATGAAGATAAAGACACAGGGAAAACTTTTTTTTTTTTTCAACATTAAAGTTCTGGGACATGAAGCCGGCCAAAGCATGGGACCCTTTAGGGAGCAGCAGGCCAATAAAAAAATTCAGAGGTCAAAAATAAAAAAGATTTTATGATTTGTAGTTTGACTTAACCCTGGCTTGCATGGCTTTAGGTCTTCTTTATAATTTGGTATTTTATTGCCACAGATTTTTTTTTTTTTTTTTTACTTACAGGTTATAGGTGGGTTACTATGCTTAGCCCCACTTTAAAAGAAAGAGAAAATGCATCACAGATAGAATAACCTTGCCACACACCTCTGCTAGGAGCTTTTCCTACATCAACTATTGCTTAACTTTTTTTTTAAGAAAGAAAGAAAAAAAGGAGTGAAGGAGAGGAAGAAAGAGGGAGAAAAAGAGGGAGAGAAAATGGGAATGTAGCTTTATTCTAAAAATGGGTATTAATAATGGCTGATCAGTATTTTGTGTATTTAAGGTGGAGAATGTATATTTTGTATATTTAAAATGGAGAGCTCTATAAATATTTATTGAGTTTACTTGTTCCGGATGTGAGTTCAAGTCCTGGATATCCTTATTAATTTTCTGTCTCGTTGAGTCTAAATCTCTTTATGAGTCTTATGTATCTGGGTGTTAGGATCGTTAGCTCTTATTGTTGCACTGATCCTTTTATCACTATATCTTTGTTGCTTTGAAATCTATTTTATCAGATGCGAGAATTGCAACTCCTGCTTTTTATTTATTTATTTATTTTTGCTCTCCATTTGGTTGGTAAATCTTTCTCCACCCCTTTGTTTTAAGTCTTTGTGTATCTTTGGGTGTGAAATGGGTCTGGATGTAGCATATCGTTAGGTTCTGGTTGTATCTTTTGATTGGGGGATTTAGTCGACTTAAATTTAGGGTTACTGCCATTTGATGTTAACTGGCTATTTTATCCATTTGTTGATGTAAATTCTTCTTTATGTTGATGCTATTTACTTTTTGGTATATTTTTAGAAAGGCTAATACTGGTTGTTCCTTTCTATGTATAATGCTTCTTTCAGAAGCTCTGAAACTTTTTTTTTTAAAGAGATGGGGTCTCACTGTGTTACCCAGACTGGTCTCAAGTGGTCCTCTTGCCTCGGATTACCAAAATGCTGAGGTTACTGGCATAAGCCACCATGCTCAGCCTGTTTATTTATTTATTTATTTATTTGAGATAGAATCTCACTCTGTCACCTCCCAGGTTCAAGCGATTCTCCTGCCTCAGCCTCCTGAGTAGCTGGGACTACAGGTGTGCACCACCACACTTGGCTAATTTTTGTATTTTTAATGAGGATGGGGTTTCACCATTTTGGCCAGGCTGGTCTTGAACTTCTGACCTCAGGTAATCTGCCTACCTCAGCTTCCCAAAGTGCTGGGATTACAGGCCTGAGCCCGTGCACTCAGCCTGTCCATTTTGTGCTTAGGTTCAACCAAGAGTGGGCAGCCATGTAGATGTGGTTAGACAAAAGGGTACCATCCAATTGTAATAGACTGAGAACAGAGATCCATCCTGGATATTCAGATTCTTCTTGGCCTCTCTGTGTAGCTTTCCCTCCTCCTGGGTTTAGGGCAGGACGCCTTTGGAAAGGGGACCTACTATCAGACAAGGTAGAATCGATAATTTCTTTATTTATTTGTTCTTTATGCTTGCCCCTACACAGAAAAGTGAAGAAAGGTAATATTTCTAGGTTTTGTAGCTTATTTTGGGGAGAAGGGTTTTAGTTTCTGTGACTCACTTTGGGGGAGAAAGAGACGTGGGAACCAGGAGGGCAGAAGAAGGTCAGAGAGAAACTGCTTCCAAGGCCTTCCCATCTCCTTTAGTTCAAAGTACCTAGCATGCCAAAGCACTATGCTTTGTGATATCATTTTCCGAACCCCTACATGGTATTAAAGCACTAAGAGTTTTTAAAAATACCAATTACATCAAGTAAAAGAATATCTATGGAAACGCTTCAAAAATATAAAAGTTACATGACATATTAATATAATTTTTACATATGTATGACTTGTAAGCTTATTGCTTGCTTTTTATTTGCAGATTTTGTGACTGAAGGCACTACACTGTGACCATAAGTGCCAAATGACCTTTTTGAATCTGTGTTAAATATATGAAGTTTCCACTGATAGCTGGAAGAGGCAGATCAGTCTGTGTGTTAACATCAAGGGAAACTTCATTCCTTGAGAGTTCAAGGGGTAGGAAGCGACCAGGTGCAATGCCAGTCTCATTAGAATGTCTGGTGATTTGCTCATTCGACTATTTGAAGAAATTCAACAATTCAGGTCGGAGCTACAAAAGTCACAATTTTGAAGCCCACACAAGAAAGTCTCATTTGAATCTTTGCTCATCTGGAAAGAGAAAAGTCCCTAGGATCGCCCAGTATCCACGACAAAGCAGAGTCTGCTAAATCTCCATCATTCGGAAAGAGGAGCTGTGTGTGTGTGCGCGCGCGCTGAACTATCCTCCAGATCTCCTAGGCGGAAAAAAAATTTAAAAAGGTCATCAGCTATGTAGGCAGATAGGCTGTGATCACCACAGGAAGCTCTTAAGTATCTGGGGAAACGGAAACTGTCTAGGGATAAAGCTGGCCTGGTTTGTGTGTTTCTGGTTTCACCGATTAAAAAAAATCCATCTACCAAGGGTGGATAAATTTTAAAATTCTGCCATGCCCAGTTTTCGAAGCCCCAAGTGCCATATAGGAACAGCTGTGGTGTGAATTAGTTGGCCTAAGCTTTTGGGCTGCTTCCAACTTCGCTATTGCTCATGCCCTACAGGTCAAGGAAAGAAGTGATGTAATGCACTTAGCTGGGCCACTTTAATTACAATGGAATGGAGAGGGGGAGGGGTCACAAGCGGTGACAAGTTTGGCGCATGACTTGCCCTCGGGATGCAGGAAACAAAAACATCGAAGATCATTGGCTGCCTTGGTTTCCAACCCAGGTCTCTAACCCAGCTCCAGGTCCGGAACGTTGAAACACGTTTCCTGGGAAAAGGGGTGGCGCTATCCCATAGAGCGTCAACCTTAAACACAAACAGCACACACACACACACACACCCACGCAGGCTGGCGGCGTCCTCCCTGTTGGGATGGGCGGCGGGCCCAGCGCTTGGCACATGGTTCCCAGAAGGCTCCCCCGAAGGTTCCCCCGAAGCCAGCCGCAGCTGCCCAGCTCGGCGCGCAGAGCCCGCGGAGGAACCGTGGAAACCCGGACCCGCTCCAAGTGAGCCGCGTTGTCGTCATTCATTCGCAGTGTCCGGAGCGTCCTTCCAGCGGCGAGCTGGGCTTCGCTAGTGGCGCCAGCAGCCCCGGCACGGCACCTTAAGTCGCGGTGACTTCGGGAGCTCGAGCAGGTAGAGACGGGAGGGACCTTGGAGCTCGGGTCCCCAGCCCAGCTCGGCCCTGACCGCCGGGCCGAATCCGCTCCGGTCTTCCGCAACCCTGCCTGCCGCGGAGCCGGATCCCGGGACTGAGCTACACCACTTCCTCCTCCTCCCGCTCCCTTCCTCCTCCTCTTCCTCCTCCTCCCGCTCCTCCCGCCGCTGTCGGCCGGAGCCGGGCTGCGGAGCGCCAGGCCCGGGCGTCTGCGGCCGCTGGGAGGATGCTGCGCGCCGCGCCCGCGCCCTCGCCGTCCTCCCCGGCCGCCTGCTGGCGCTTTGTTGTGGCCCGGGCGCCGCGGGCCGCCCCCTGAAGTCGCCTGCTGCTGCCGCCGCACCTAGCGGACGGGAGGGCGGGCGCGCCGTGTGTCCGGGAGTGCGCGCCTGTTGCGGTGGTGGGTGCGGGACGCGACCCGCGGGCCCATTGTGCGCCCGCCCGCTGCGGCCAAGACCATGTGGGTGAACCCCGAGGAGGTGTTGCTGGCCAACGCGCTGTGGATCACGGAGAGAGCCAACCCATACTTCATCCTGCAGCGGAGGAAGGGGCACGCCGGTGATGGAGGCGGCGGCGGCGGACTGGCGGGTAAGAACCCCGGCCGACCCCTGCAGGAAGGGAGCCGGGAGCGCTGCGGCGCCGCCCGCGGCCCTGGGCTTCAGGCTCCGGAGACGCCGCCCGGTCCCTTGGGGCTGGGCGACCCGCCCTGCCTCGTTGTGTGCCAGGCTTCGAGAGTCGTGATGTTCAGGCTGGACAGAGATGCTTCTGTTTTGACTCTGTCAGGCTTTTGGGCCCTTAGCGTACTGAGCGCTCCTTAAGTGGATGATGTTGAGGAGAATGGAAAAGAGTGAGTCTGGGGCGGCTGGAGTATTATCCCCTATAAATTGAATGCAGCATTCCCTTCCCCTGCCCCCCTTAAAAATATTGTTTTCCAGATGGAGAAGAGGGATGGAAGAAGGTTAATTTTTAATCCACTTTCTTTACTGGCAACAGCAGGATCAGGTATAAAATGCTCTTTTGTTTCCAGAGAAGTGATCAGTAAGGAACCGATGTGGTCATTTCCTATATTAGTTATGACGAAGAGAATGAATAAGGAAACAGGAATTCTTTTGTTTCACCTAATTAGACATAAAGCAAAGCAAGCTGTCTGGTTCTAGTTGTAGAAATAATTGGCTATATAACTGCATTTGAACTGTTTTTGCTCAATCACTTCTTCCCTAACCCCCCCTCCCTTCAAGGTATTATTGTGATTGTTGTTCAAGCCATGTCATATCGTTCAGGATGACAAGATCAGTCAGACCCATATCCAAAGTAGTGCCATAGTAGAAATAATCTTGAACGCCTACCATACTAGAGAAATTGGACCTTTTCCCTCTCCGTGTTATTTAAAATGAACAGAACTGGAATACTTTTTACAGTGAAAAAGTTACCAGAAGAAATAGTAGAGATTTCACTAGGAAGGAGACTGCAAAAAAGAGATGAACTTTGACCTCTTCAGAGTTGAGCATATATCAATTTCATATATCACCTGGAGTTTGCACACTAGATAAATTGTTGATTTCAAATACTGTGCTATGAAATAAAAATTCTTAATATATGTGTTTACTTATGACTATATTTATAAACTAATTTTATTAAGATTAAAATTAAAGTGTCATGTGATACAGTGTATACTGGTGTGTTTGAAGGCTCTTGCTTCTGCCATAAATCTGAAGAGCTCCTGACCCTATTCTGGAAATACTGACTAGTGAACTGAAATCAAGATTTTCCAGTTCACTTTGTAAAATTATCTAACTCTAAATGTTAATATGTAATTTACATATCTAATATTGGAATCAGCCCACATTGTCCTTTTTTCTTTCTTTCTTTTTTTTGAGACAGAGTCTCATTCTGTCAGCTAGGCTGGAGCACAGTGGCTCCATCTCAGCTCACTGTAACCTCCTCTTCCTGGGGTTCAAGCCATTCTCCTGCCTTAGCCTCCCCCGTAGCTGGGACTACAGGCATGCACCACCATGCCCAGCTAATTTTTTTGTATTTTTAGTAGAGATGGGGTTTCACCATGTTGGCCAGGCTGGTCTTGAACTCCTGACCTTAAATGATCTGGCCGCCTTGGCCTCCCAAAGTGCTGAGATTACAGGCGTGAGCCACCGCGCCTGGCACACATTGTCCTTTAAGCCTAGGTTGACAACATAGAGTAGAAAATTTGTTATAGTAAAAAAGAACATATCCTTCTGCAGTTAACCCTCTTACATCTTGTAAGCATTAAGTATTCATTTACCTGGGTCATTTGCAATAACAGCATGTGAAAAATTTAGGGATTCAGAGTCTTCTATTTCTGCTTAGCATTTGTATTGTGTTCCTACTGGTTCTTAGAGCTATAATTGACTTCTGGTTCACTTGAAATCTCATCTTGTCATCAATGACTTATTTCACATATGTAAAATTACATCTTGTAAATTAAGAAATCATGGTGATTGCACTTATTAATGGAATAATTAAAATCATCGCTATGAGTAAAAATATTTATGACAACAAAGGCTATTTTCAACCAACAGAGGTAAAATGTTTGGTCTAATACATTGGCGCCATGTCAAATGTAGCAGGAACATTTTAGAAATGTTATACAATGTGTAGTGTATTTTGATTCTAATGTGAGTACATTCATGCATTCACTAACTCACTAAATCATTTAACAGATATTTGTTGGCAACTTCTAGAAGTGCTAATGTCATGAAGCTCAAGTCTAGTAAAAGACAGATATTAATGAAATAATCACATAAATCAAAGTAAAATTGCCACTCTACAGAGTCCCGGCAGAAAACAGGATCTAAATGAAGTCCAAATGAAGAGAGATGAGTGAAAAAACGACTTAGAAAAATGGAGGCATGGTTATTAGAACTGGTGTAAGGCAAACCAGAGGCAGGAATGATATTACTGGAATCCATGAGACCTGGAGCCAGTGAAGAGGAGCTTGGGCCTGGAGAGAAGCAGGCACTTATAAAAACACAGACTATAGCAGAAAGCAAGTGGAGAGTACATTCCCCAACTTCTCTCTTCCCCCACCCTTCTAGCTTCTGCCACTGCCTCCCATCCCTGGAACCCAATAGAAGCCAGCTAAGGAACTGGGAATGGTGGTGTATGCCAGTCCCAGCTGCTAGGGAGGTTGAAGCTGTAGACTTGTTTGAGCTCAGTCATTAGAATCCAGACTGGGCAACATAGTGAGACCTTATCTCTAGAAAAGGAAAAGAAAAAGAAGCCAGCTGTAAATAGAGTCCGGTGATGATCAGCCTCCCAGGGATGGATGGGGGCAAACTGAGAATGACCAGAACAAATATCATAAGGAAAGGAACATGATGTCGGTTAGTCCCAGTTAAGTGAGGGGGTCTTGGAGGTGGAGGCAAAGGAAAGATTCCTTGAGGAAGTGACCTTGAGCTTAGAAGTGAACAAAGAAAAAGATCTGGCTTTGAGAAGAGGAGGGAAGGCTAAGTGTTAGATATCAGTTGTTGGAGATTTTCTGAAAGATTTCAGGACCTTTACATAATATGCATTATCTGGATCAATGCACCTATGTATACTCAGCAAATAGATGACAGGTGAGTAGGGAAACTTGCTCACTGTGAATTGGCCAGGAGTGCCCTCCAAGTGTGGTCATTAGGGAGCTTGGAAAGAGAAGCACAGAACGCTATAAAAAAACAATGGGTCAAAGTTGAGAACACTTAACATTTTTTAAAAATTAAGATATTCTGTTCCTGATTCCAAGCAATATGTATAGGCATGGATGCAATGAAGTACTCTACTGTGAATGTATTTGATTGATTTATTTAATCCCCTTTGAGATTTCATACATATACATAAAATTACAGAAATCAAATACAGAGTGCAGTGAACTAGTACAAAGTGAGCACTTGGCAACCAACACCAGGATAAAAAGAATTGAACACCAGGATAAAAAAATATAGAACATCACCAATGTGCCAAAAGCCCCTTGTGATTCTCAGCCAATCATTGTCACCTCCTCCAAAGATAAAGATAGCTTCATGTTGTGTGTGTGTGTGTGTGTGTGTGTGTGTGAACATTTCCATGATTTTCTTTATAGTTTTTCTAAAGAACGTATTCCCAAACACTATATTTTGGTTTTGCCTTTTTTTTTTTAACAAGAAATGAAATGGAATTATAGAATATATATTCATTTGTGTCTGGATTCTTTTGCTCAGCCTTGTGTATGTGATATTCATTTTGTTGCTTGATGGCCATAATTCATTCATTTTTCTGTTCTGTGCAGAAAACTATGATATGAGTATACCAATTTATTCATCTACTGGTTATCAGTTATACTGTTAGTGGACCATTGGATGCTCCATTTGGGGGCATTATGGATAATGTGGCTATGGTCATTTTGGATCATGTTTCTTGGTGCCTGCAAGTATACGTTTCTGTTTGTTCTACAAACAGGAGAGGAACTGCTAACTCATAATGTATTTTCAACTTCAGTAGATGATTCCAAACTATTTTCCAAAGTAGTTGTACCAATATACTCCCACCAGTAGCATATGTAAGTTCCCTTGTTCCATCACATATCCTTGTCAACACTGTCAGTCTTTGTAATTTTAGCCATTGTGGTGGTTTTGTAGTAATATTACATTTCAGGGTTAATTTGCTTTTTCCTGACTGATGAAGTTGAACATCTTTCCATATGTTTTTTAGAAATATTTTGAGAGGTGATTGTTCAAGTCTCCTGTCCATTCTTCAACTGGATTGTTTGTCTTTTTCTTTACTGACTTGTAGAAATTTAAAAAATATATTTTGGGTATGAGCCCATTTTTTATGTGTGTGGCAAAATCTTCATTTGTTCCTTACCTATTTACTCTGTAAAGGATGAACAGAGATTCTTAATTTTTAAAATTCCTTAAGTCATTTTTGATAACATTTCCTTTTAGATACCATTTCCTTTATGGTTCATATTTTATTGTGTTTAGTTCAATAAGTCTTTTCCTGCTCTGCAGTTATAAAGACATTCTTCTATATTATCTTCTAGAAATGTAACAGTTTTAACCCCCACCTTAACATATACAAATCACTGGGAATTAATTTTTGGATATTCAGTGAAGTAGGGGTCAGGTATTATATTTTACATTTTTTTGTGGATATTTGCCCCAGCATGATTTATTGGGAAGGCTATTCTGTCTTCACCATTCTGTAGAGCTATGTTTGTCATAAATCAAGGGCCATATGTGTGTGGGTCTGTTTTGGTTTTCTAGTCTATTTCTTTTGTTTATTAGTATATTCTTGTACCAACATGACACAGTAGTTTTATTTTATTTTAATTTTCTTTTATATTCAGGGATTACAGGTACATGTTTGTTACATGGGTATATTGTGTACTGTACTTTTATGATAAGCATTTATATGCAGTAGATTAACTTCTATTAT